CGTATTTTAAATTGAAATTTATTGTGATTTTATAAAAAATAATATTGTATTATTGGGTTACCCGGCTTTCGATGTGCATGTTTAACTTTTATTATTTGGTAGCCTTTTCACATTCGACAACGGAAAGACAAAGGGAGCGAATCAAACAGCTGGTGAAGCGTCGGATATGGGAGAGATTGTGTGCATTTGCTGCTGTTAGGTAGAGAATTCTTAAAAAACAAAAATAAAACAAACGAGGAGAGTTAAAAATAATAAAGTGGGGACTAGATATACAAACAAAGTCTGTCAAAACTAATCTACTTTTTGTATATCGCAGATAAAAAAAGAGGGAGGAACCCCTTTTTTTTTTTTTTTTTTTTTTTTTAACGAGGCTGATTATTGTTAATTTTGAGTTTTGATATGACTAATGCTATATAAACCTATAAATTTTACAAACATCAATTATACTATTGTATAAGTACTAATTTCAATTCTAAAATACATTTTGCATGATCATATTTTGTTAGTAAGTAAAAATAAAAAATTTATATAAGATTTATAATTTGTACAGATGGGCTTTGGCCTATGGCTTGCGCCTCTAACCACCAAACCTTAATTTTCTCAAGGCTATTTAAGGATTGTCCATGTTTTGGGGTTTTGATTGTTAAAAATTAAAAATTAGTTTTTGTGAAAGAAATTTAAAAAAAATACTATCATTATTATATAATTTTATTCCTTATGGGAGACCGAAATAATTTTTAAAAATTTTACATTATATTTTTTATATTTTATTTTATCAACACTCAATTTCTATCTTTCTTTCAAAAAAAAAATTATGGAAATTTTTGTAGCAAACGTAAACATTTTGGCCTATAGGAACCAACTAGATTAGTTTTTGTTGATTGTTTACATTTGATATGCTGGACTTGAAAATTTTAGGTTGTCTGAATTCTAGCACACCTCGCCAATTAATATAATTTTAATATTAATTATTATATATAATATATATAAATTCTAAAACATTAAAATTTTGGCCTAATAGAACCAAAACTGATAGTATTTTTTGGAGTGTTTAATTTTTAAGCTGGACTTGAAATTTGTTTTCTAAATCTAACCCACCTCGCCCATATATAATTTTTAATATTATTTATATACATATATAATCTGAAACCTAAAATTTTGGCCTTTAGAACTCAAAATGGAATTTTTTTTTTTTTTTTGGTGAGTGACTTGTTTAATTTTTAGACCGCACTTGAAACTTTAGGTTCTAAATTTACTAGCCCCCTCCACCCATATATAAATTTTTGATATTATTTTTATATATATAAATTCTGCAAAAAAAAATTTTGGAAGCAAAAGTCCTGTTGGTTTGGAGTTTTTTGGAATTAAGCTTTTTTA